TCGTCCCGCCCCGCCCCTGGAGTGGAGCTTCTAGACCGCGTCGCGCTCTCACCCGACTGGGGGCCCCAAGGAGCTCGCTGTGGAGGACGCGCGTGGGCAGCAGGCAGGTCGAGGCGAACCGCAGGGGAGGAAACGGGCGTCCAGCCGCCCAGATCTAGCGGATTACCGATTCTCCCTTGGGGACCGGCTCCCGGGGACAATGTGATAATGACGCGACTGTACTGAACACTGGTTTCTCGGGCGATGCGGCTGCTAGCTGGGGAGCCGGGAGCTGTCCCTGAGCGATTCCCCCTCCGGCACGCTGCACAATGGTGCCGTCCACGCCTACCCCTTCCTAAGGCTAGCAAGATAGGACACATTTCTCCCGCTCGAGAGTCGAAACTGGGTAATTAGTTTGGCCACAGGATGCGGTCGCCTGCGAGGCCCGCCAGGGTCTCCCGTGGGCCAGGACGCGGTCCCGGGCTCCAGAAGCTTTGTCCCTCGGAAAGCAGAACTGGGGACCTTAGAGAGGGAGATTAGGCTTGTATGGCAATCCCGCGAGGTCCAGAAGGGCTGGCTCTAAAAACTGGGACTGTCTTGGTCGCCACGCTTCCACGGGGAGACACGGAGTGTGCTCCGCGAGCGACTCTGCCTGCGGTCCGGGTTTGAAGTCTTCCGGAGGCTCCGAAGTGACAACTACCTCCTCAGTCCTCACGAAAGATAAGGGGAGGAGTTTAAGTAAAGGTGGACCTCCGCAGGATAACTTGAAATGTGGGCAAAGGCTGGTCGCCTAGAAAAACGAACAAATGACCTTCAAAGGAAATTTTTCACTCTCTCTACCTCTGTCCACGAAGAACGGTGCTGATCGATCCACTGGACTGGAGTTCAGGCCTCCTGACACCCTCCCAGGCAATGTGTCCCCCAAACACTTCTCCCTTCTTTTGCTCCCAATTACGTTTTTAAATAGAAAATATAAGCCTAGTGGTGATGATGGTTCGTGCCGTTAATCCCTTCACTTGGGAGGCAGATGCAAGTGGATCTTTGTGAGTTCAAAGCCAGAGTTCCAGGATAGCCAGGACTATTACACAGAGAAATTCTATCTTGTAAAACCGTGTGTGTGTGTGTGTGTGTGTGTGTGTGTGTGTGTGTGTGTGTGTGTGTGTGTGTGGGGGTGTGTGGGGGGGAAAAAAAAAAAAGTACAGTA